TCCTTGGAACCCGTTTATGACCTGCTCTCTTGGTTTTGTCAAGTCCAGCATCTAGGCCCTCTCCGGTCCAGGCCCTGCCGGCTGCTCTTCCCTTGACGGCGGCTCTGGCTTCCCTGCGTCTCTGGCTGCATGCGCCGTTGCTGGGACATCGTGTTGCAGTCCCCTCCCTCTGAGGGGCTGGCTGTTGGCTCAGACCCGCTGGGGGGCTCGTTCCCGCCAGGCGTGTTGTGCTCTGTTTGTTGCTCTGCTGACTGGTATGGTCTGCAGGGAGCCCTCCGACCCAGCATGTCTCACCTGCAGCCTTGCCTCCCGGCCCAGGTCCGGTCTGGGGCTTGTCGGGCGGGTGCTGTGTAGGATGTGACCCTGACTCCGGGCAGGCTCGTGCACACGTCTGGCTCGCCGCAGAACAGTCACCGGCTGTTGCGGGCTGTCCTCTCTCCCTGTCCCTTCTTTCTCTTAGGGCACGAGGGACTTTCTGTTTAATGCCAGTGACTCTTCTCTGTGGTTTTCTGAGTCTCAGTCCCTGCTGGAGCCTTCTGGGATGGTTCGTGGGGCTGCGTTCCCCAGAGTCCTGCACGCTGATGGCGGTTCGTGCCCTTCACACTTGGAGGACGGTGTCTGGCTGTGAAGCCCTGGGCTCAGCCCCCCTTCCTTGAGAGTCTTTCTTGAGTAAGTGGTTGCTCCAGGTGTTTGCTGGGAGGAAACGCTGCTGTCGGAGTCTGACGATCGTCTCACTTCCCTCCCTGGGTGCTGCGCGTGTCCTCTGCCCAGGGCTGCCCGCCGAGCTCTGCTCCTTCAGGCCGCGCCGCTTTGCCGGGGGCCGGCTGTCCTGAGCTGTGCTCTCGGGGGCAGTTTTAAACCCTCCGTTTGCAGGGGCGCTTCGCGCGACGCTTCCTTGGTTTCACCCTTTCCAGAGATTCCTGTGTTCACAGCCCGTCGGTATTTGTCATTTTTTCTTCAGTCCTTTCAGTCTCTCTTTAAAACTGCGGGACACTTCGCCCTTCCCCCTTGTCGCTCCTTCTGCCTGTTTGCTGTGCTCCTGCTCCTGTGTCTCCCGAGAGCAGCCTTTGTTTCCCAAACGGAATTTTCTTTTGTTCCTCATTTTTTCTTGACTTCGTCACTTCATTTCTGAGTTCTGCTAGTTCTGATTTCTGTTGTTCTTTCATGCCTTTTATCGTTTTCCCAGTGTGTTTTTTAGCTTATTTGGAAACAATGTAACAGTTTGGACCTTTTGATTATGTCTCTTTGGTGTTTTTTCATCATCTGTTGGGAAGTTACTCTTTTTCCTCATGGCCCCTGGTGTGGGCTCTGACGTCTCTGCGTGCACGTTCATGGGACCCCAGTTTCCCGGACCCTGGGGAGGAAGGTTTGCCGACTTCGCTGAGCTCCTCTCAGGCTGCCTCCCCGCAGCGACGATTTCTGCCGTTGAGATTTCTGGGCTCTGCTTTCTGCCCGACCCTTACCTGGAGCTTTTTTGTCTCTCTGGTCCCTGCCGTGCTCAGTGTGGTTTCAGGCTCCCCCCACCCCGAGTCTCTTACGTGGGACCCTGTGCTCGGGAGCCCTGCTGTCAGAGGCGGGGTCCTGGCGGCAAGGCTGCCGTCGGATGGGGAGAACCCTCCCGGCTTCAGCGGGCTCCCCCTGGGAGCCTCCCCTCCAGGGGCCACCCGCGGCTCTGGGCCTCGGGCCTCGCGGGTCGGGCTGCTTTCCCTGCACTGTTTGGAGCTGCTTCCCGGCCCGTGGCCGCTTGGGGCTCATCTCTGCTGATTTTGTTCTGAATGTTGTCCGCTGGTGCCTGGTTTTGCGGCCAGGCGGCTCTGTGCTTTACGTGGCCCTTTGGGAAGATTGGAAAACTTCGATGCCTCCGCCATCGTCTCTCCCGAATAAAATAACAGTTTCCAAATGCCTTTCTTTTAATTTAAAATAGTTTCAAACTTACAGAAAGTTGTAAGAACCTTTGTTCAGATTCTCAGTTCTGAACATTTCACCCCTTTTACACACACACCCCCGTTTGTGCGTGCGTGCATGCACATACCACATGTAACAGGTATGAGATCTTTTTCTGAAGGGCTGTTCCGTCCGTCACCCCTCGATACTGACCCTGCTGGACACGCTCTTCTGTTACTGCACCCGCCTCCACCCCCTGGCCCGTCAGGAACTCGACCCTGAGGCACCAGTGAGCCCCGGACCCCTGACCCCTCACCGCCTGTCCTGGTCTTTCTTTGTGACCCAGGCGTGTGCGGCACCAGTTAGCGTGCGGTTTGAATCCCTCCCCAGTGCCCCTATCCCTGACGGCGTGACAGAGGACAGGCCTTTGTTCTGTGGGGTGGCCCTTCCCCCCGTGGTCTGTCCGACTTGGGCAGAAGTGCCTCAGTGCTGCTGGGCGCTCCGCTCAGCCGTCACACGCGTGGCCCACGGTCTCGACCTTCTTACCACTGGTGACCTTGGTCTTGATCCCTTGGATAAGTCGCTGGTTAAGGAAGCCAGCTTCCTCCGCTGTGCGGTCACTGTTAGGCCTTTAGGATGGAGGTGCTCCGGGATCACGCAGACACTGTCCCCCGTCACGCCTCCCCCTGGCCTCTGTGCCCAGCGGAATGGCTGCAGGCATAGGTGCCAGAGTGTGGCCTGTTTCCATCACACTGTCCCCATTTATTGGCTGCCTTCTGTTGTAAAGAAGAGCTTCTCCCCCCTCATCCGTTCGTCTGCTCACTCATCCGTCAGCGTGTGTGGACGCGTGGACTCCTGCTGCATTCGGAGGGTTGTAATCAATGCTCTCGTTGTTTCTAGATTTGGTCAGTGGAAGCTTCTTCACGCTGGTTTCTATATCCTTTTGAAATGTTGCCCTCGTCCTTTAAGCGTTGTGTTTTTACTGACACGAGAGGTGTCCAGCTGCCTCTTGTGCCTCCCCCTGCCCTCACAGCAGTGACCCCCAGGAGCCTGGCTCCTGGCAGTGGAGGGTGGAACTTAGAGACCAAGATCTGAGCTCCGTGTGTGCTCATT